TGAGGGTTGTTGGAGGGGAGGTGGTTGGGAGGATGGGGTAATTGGGTGATGGGCATTAAGGAGGGCAATTGATGTAATGAGCACTGGGTGTTATATGCAACTGATGAACAACTAAATTCTACCCCTGAACCTAATAATACACTATATGTTAACTAAATTCAATTTAAATAAAAAATTTAAAAAACAAAAAGAATGCCAAGGAGGATGAGAAACCTCAAATAATTGTGTAGCCTCAAATAATGCCTAAATTCAAGCCCCTAGTGACTACCTCAAAGCACCATTATCCAGCTTTGGATACTGTGAATTACACTGGACTCTGATCACCACTAATTATAGTGTAGCCATTGCTGTCCCCAGATGCCACTATTAGCAAGGACAATTATCTGTTGTTCTCACTCTTTTGCATCCCTCTGACCCATTCATAATGTCTCTTCTCTATAACACTTCCAGAAGGTCACTGAAGGCTTTGTGTTTCTTAATTTCTTTGTACTAACACAAGATGTTAACTTTAAGCACTGAACTGTGTACCAAAGGTGATAAAGGTAGAATTTTAGAGGACGGGGACACCACTTAGAACATGAGCTGTAGGAGAGAAGGCTTTTTGTAGAGTAGGGACAGAGCTGGGTCTTGAAGTATGATATCTTTTTTTTTTAAGATTTTATTTATTTATTTGAGAGAGAGAGAGCACATGAGGCGGGGGAGGGTCAGAGGGAGAAGCAAACTCCCTGCTGAGCAGGGAGCCCGATGCAGGACTCGATCCCGGCACTCCAGGATCATGACCTGAGCCGAAGGCAGTCACTTAACCAACTGAGCCACCCACACGCCCTGAAGTATGATATCAGAAGGAAGGTTGTACAAGTCAGCTATTGCTGCACACTGAAGTGTAACTGTTTTTAAACAATATTTTTCACTTATGGACCTAGAACCAACCAGGGAATTTCTAATTCTGGTTTTAATTTTGCTCTTTCTACAATTTCTATGAATTCCTGTGGTTCACATCTTCATACATCTCATAGCTTTCAACCTGACAGCATTAGGTTGTTCCAAGTTTGCATTGCACCAACCTGGCCTCACCAGTTCCTATAAGAATTTACTCATGTCAGATATCTTGTGCTTTTGCTATACTTCACCAAGGATTTGAGGGATTGTGGGAAGGGGTCCCATCTTGAAATACATGGCCTTCAGCCACCTTGCTGGCTATTTTCTCTCCCTCCCCCTCTCTCCCCCATCTCCCTTTTTCATTCATTTCCACTTCCCCCTTCTCTCAACCCACAAATATCTTCTCTTTTCTTTCACTAACCATTTTATGCTCACCCTGTTCCCCCAGGGTCTCACCTGCTTCCCAGTGGCTTAAAAAAGTACTTCTTTCAAACACATCCAGTGCTCTACTCAAGAGAACACTTGGTAAAGAATATTCTCTCTTAAAGCAATCACAGTTATGGGCTTTTCTTCTACTTCCAATCAATTATCCTTACTCAAGTTATTATTCAAGAATAACTAGACATTCAGTAAGCAAGTTATCTGTAGAAGATTTAACCTACTTAAAGGGGAAAGAGATGAGATGCGGATACCTGTGTACTATCCCTTGAAGAAGCTTATGAAAGTACAGCCGCAGTAGCTGGGATGCTCTGAGGAGAACCCCAGTGGGGAGAACAATGGCTAAAAATAGCACTTGACCTTGGGTATCTGAAAGGAAAATGATGAAAAATGTTGACCAAAGAGTTTAAAGTATCTTTGAAGAAAAAAGAAAAATAAAAGCACACCCACTTTTTTAAGTGCATGGAAGTCACCTTCTGCACTTTCGGGAAAGGAAAAGCTATTCAGTCAAGACATAGGCTTTCAGGCATGACCTTCAACAGGCAAAGGGCAGCCCTCCATGTACCAAGAGGATGGTGGAGGCAACAGGGCAGCAAAGGAGAGTGATATATTCCCCCAAACACTGGAGAGATCACAAAGTAAGTGGCCAGATCAGGAGGCAGAGCTATCATGGAATTAAAACTAAAAAAGGCTGCTTTCACTCTCAGCAGAGATACATGTCAGATGGGCTGCAGGTTCTGGGATTGATGGCATTCATGGGAACTGAATGTTCCCACAGAGGAATGAGGGAGGAAGAATCTGATTCTAATATCTTACTACAAATGTGTTCACCAATGCCCAGCACCCTAGCCACTTTGCAATGGAGATTCTTCTTAATGGGAGGAAATGAAAGACTGAAAGAAGTTTCTTTTTGATCCTTACACTCCCCAATCGCTGTCTTGCTCTGATCTTTCCCTTGTGTTACTCCCTTTACTCTTAACTCCGTAAGAGCTCACCACATGCTAGCAACTATGGAGAACTAAGAAATGAATGAGACCATCACTATCCAGGCTGTTCAGAACCTAGTAAAGTTAACAGGCTAGTAAACATATGTCATAAAAACCCATAATTGTACCCTTAGAAATAAAAAGGAAGACTTTGGTTTATGCAAGAAGTAGCTTTAAGCAAAGCCTCGAAGAACATACTGACTATGTTGGGTAGAGCTGGGCTGGAAAAAAAGACCTTTAGTGGGTAAAGGTAAGTGTATCTGCTATGTACTAGACACTGATACTATCCATAGGTTATGTTAGTTAAGTTTGTTTTAATAATTTATTGAGTGATACTAGATGTCAGACTCTGGGTCCAGCTATGAACAGAGGAGTCACTTTTTTTATGGAAGTTGGAGTCTAATGGTATGGCAGGCAGAATAATGGCCTTCCAATGTGTCTACATCCTAATCCAGAGAACCTGTGAATATGTTGTTATGTTGTGTTATGTTTTCTGTTTTATGGCAATGAAGAATTAAGAATTAAGGTAGCAGGTAGAATTAGGCTCACCTTAAAATAGGTTGATGATCCTGAACCAATGTAATGACAAGGATCCCTAAATGTGGAAGAGGGAGGCAGAAGACAAAGTATTAGTGATTGCTGTGAAAGACTTGACCAGCCATTGCTGACTTTGAAGATGCGAGAGGCCATGAGCAAGGAATGCAGACTACTTCTAGAATCTGGAAAAGGCGATAAAATGGATTCTTCTCTAGAGCCTTGAGAAAGGAACATAGTCCTGCTGGCACATGAATTTTAGCCCAGTAGCATTCATTTTGGACTGCTGACCTCCACAGCTGTAAGATAGTAAGTTTGTGCTGTTTCAAGTCACTAAGTTTTGGGGAAATGCAAGTTGCTGCCAATGCTTTTATCTGGTAAGGAGTAAGGCAGAAAGGGCTGTAGAAGGTGTGTTGCAGTGACAGATAGCAGACCATTGTGTTCATTCCAACTTTGCCATTAATTCATAGATTTACTCACTCATTTAGCTGGAACTATGTGCTGGGCAGAAGGCCAGATGCCAGAATGCAACAGAAAACAAGACAAGAAAATTTCCAGCTCTTGAGGAACTTGCAGTCTAATTGGAGAGAAGATAAAAAGTCAATGAAAAGATAAATAATCCAAATTGTAGTAAGCACAATGAATGAAATTAACATCATAGTGCCATAAGAAATACAATGGTCAGGGAAGGCCTTTCCTAAGAGATGATATTTAAGTTGAAATCCATTAAAAAGAGAGAAAAACGTATAAAGGATATATGCAAACAGGACAGGAAAAAACAAGGTCCTGTGGCTGGAAAGAGCTGTTACCATGGTCTAAGATTTGACAGGTGGCTTATGTGACAGGAAAATAGTAAGCAAGGGGGAAAAGTGGACAGTGGCTAGCTCATACCGGCTTTGTAAGCCATGTGAGAAATTTTTCTTGAGAGCAATGGAAAAATACTGAAGGGGTTATAAACAGAAGAGTGTTATAACCCTATCTATATTTCATATTATTGTTTGTTAACTTTTTATTTTGAAATAATTATAGATTCCCAGAATGTTGCAAAGAAATACAAGTTCCATGTACCTTTCACTCAATTTTACCCAATGGAAAAATCTGGCATAACTCTAGCACAATTTCAAAACCAGGATATTGGCATTGGTAGAATAAACAGAATTTATTCAGATTTTACCAGTTTTACATGTATTTATTTGTGTATGTGTATATATAATTTTATGCAGTTTTGCCACGTGTGTAAATTCATGTAACCACCATCACAATCAATATACAAATCAGCACAGAGTTCTCTTATACTACCCTTTTATAGCCACATGTATCCCCCTTCCTCACCTAAACCCTTGGCAACCTATAATCTCTTTACCATATCTATAACATTATTATTTCAAGAATGTTATATGAATGGAAACATAAAGTGTGCAATTTTTTTTAAGATTGGCTGTTTTTATTCAGCATAATGCTCTCAGGATTCATCCAAGTTGTTGTTTGTACCAATATACGTTCCTTTTTATTGCCAAATAGTAATCCATGTTATAAATGTACCACAATTGGATATCCATTTACCTACTGAATGAAATTTGGGCCATTTCTAGTTTTTGGCTTTTACAGATAAAGTTGCTATGAATAGGTTTTTCTATGTTCAGGTTTCTATGTGACACAAGTCTTCCTTTCTCTGAGATAAATGCCCAAGTGTGTAATTATTAAGCTCTAAGGTAGTTTCATGTTTAATTTTATGTGAAACTTCCAAACTTTTTCCCAGAGTGGCTGTACCATTTTAAATCCCTACCAGCATGTATGAATAATCCAGTTTTTCTACATCTTCACCAGCATTTGGTGTTATCACTATTTTTAGCTATTCTGATAGGTATATGGTGTTAGCTATTCTGATAGGTATTGTGGATTTAATTTGCATTTTCTAAGCGGCTAATGATGTTGGACATCTTTTCATGGGCTTATATGCCATCTGCTTATCCTCTTTGGTGAAATGTCTGTTCATGTCTTTTGCCCAATGTCTATTTGGATTGTTTTCTTACTGTTAACTTTTGAAAGTGATTTATGTATTCTATATACAAATCTTTTGTCATATATGTGCTTTGAAAATATTTTCTTCCAGTCTATAGTTTGTATTTTCATTCTTTTAACAAGGCCTTTCACAAAGCAAAGTTTTTAATTTGAATGAGGTCTGATTTATCAGTTTTTCTTTTTATAAGTTGGGCTTTTGAGTTAAAAATAGAACTACCCTACAACTCAGCAATTGAACTACTAGGTGTTTATCCAAAGAATACTAAAATAATGAGTTGAAGGGGCACATGTACCCCAATGTTTATAGCAGTAATGTCCACAATAGCCCAAATATGGAAAGAGCCTAGATGTTCATCGACAGATGAATGGATAAAGAAGGTGTGGTGTGTATATATACACACACACACATATATATATTATATATATACACAATGTAATGTCTATATATACAATGGAATATTACTCAGCCATCAAAAAGAATGAAATCTTGCCATTTGCAACGATGTGGATAGAACTAGAGGGTGTTATGCTAAGCAAAATAAGTCAGTCAGAGAAAGACAAATACCATATGATTTCACTCATATGTGGAATTTAAGAAACAAAACAGATGAACATAGGGGTAGGGAAGGAAAAATAAAATAAGAGGAAAATAGAGAGGGAGGCAAACCATGAGACTCTTAACTATAGAGAACAAACAGGGTTGTTGGAGGGGAGGTGGTCGGGAGGATGGGGTAATTGGGTGATGGGCATTAAGGAGGGCAATTGATGTAATGAGCACTGGGTGTTATATGCAACTGATGAATGACTAAATTCTACCCCTGAACCTAATAATACACTATATGTTAACTAAATTGAATTTAACTTAAAAAAAAATAAGTTGGGCTTTTGGTGCCAATTCTTTAGCTCTAAGTCCTAAAGATTTTCTACTTTTTTTTCTAAAAGTTTTATAATTTTTTGTTTTACACTTAAGCTTGTAATCCATTTTGAGGGTTTTGTTTTGTTTTGTTTTTCGTAAGTTGACAGATTTAGGTTGGTTTGGGATTTTTGGTTTTTGCCTACAGAAGTGCATCTATTCCAGCTCCATCTGTTGGTGCTCTCTCTATCCCTCCAGTAAGTTGCTTTTGTACCTTTGTCAAAAATCGTGTGTTGATTTCTGTACTCAGTATTGTGTTCCAATGATCTAAGTATCTATCCCTCCACAATACCACACTGTCTTGATTACTGTAGCTATATAATAAATCTTGAAGTCAAGGTTGATTCTTTTCACTTTATTCTTCTTTGGCATAGTGTTTTTATCTGTTTTAGCTTCTTTGTCTCTTCATGGAAATTTTTAGAATAAGTTTGTGTATGACTGCAAAAAAATAATAAAACCTTTCTGGAGTCTTGATAGGAATTGCATTAAACATATAGAGAAATTTGGGCAGAACTGGTATCTTTATTATGTTGGGTCTTCTAATCCATGAACACAATATGTCTCTCCATTTATTTAGATCTCTGATTTTGTGCATCAGCATTTTCTGATTTTCAGCATACAGATTCTGTACTGTTTTTCAGTTAATAGCTAAATATTTCATTTGCTTTGGAGTGATTATAAATGGTATAATTTTTAATTTTAGTTTCCACATGTTTGTTGTTAGTATATAGAAATGCAATTGATTGGGCGCCTGGGTGGCTCAGTTGGTTAAGCAACTGCCTTCGGCTCAGGTCATGATCCTGGAGTCCCGGGATCGAGTCCCACATGGGGCTCCCTGCTCAGCGGGGAGTCTGCTTCTCCCTCTGACCCTCTTCCCTCTCGTGCTCTCTGTCCCTCATTCTCTCTCTCTCAAATAAATAAATAAAAATAAAAAAATAAAAATATAAAAAAATAAAAAATAGAAATGCAATTGATTTTTGTATGTTTCTCTTGTACCATGCAGCCTTGCTAAAATCACTTATTAGTTCTGGGACTTTTACAGATACCTTGGGATTTTTTACACAGAAAAACATCATCTGCAAATAGGGACAGTTTTATTTCTTCATATCTAATCTGTGTGCCTTTTAAATCTTTGAAAGATTTCTCTGCTTCTTAACAAACGGAGTGTAGAAGGACAACTGATTTTTGGATATAGGAAGTGGATGGAGAGTGGAGCCATCTGTTGAGATTGGAAAGACTAAGGGAGAAGAAGAGGGGAGAAAAATCAAGAGTTCTGCCTATTGACAACTAAGTGAAAATGTTGCATGGGAGAAAGCCTCAGAAGAGAAGTCAAAGGTAGAGATAAAATTTAGGAGTAGTTAGCAATTACATAATATTGAAATCCAGGGAAGAGAGAGGTTGGAGGCCAGAGGAAGACCCAGGACCAAACCCTGACAACTGCAGATAATTAGAGGTTGAATATAGGAGAAGGAGCCTGTAAAGGGGATCAAGAAGGGCATTCAATGGCTTCAGATAAATCACTCTCTTCCTTTACACTTAAGTTTATTCACCTGAAAAAATGGGAGTTTGTGTGAGAACACAAGTACACTACTTAGAACACTTCAGGAATAATGTTCTTTAATTTGGACTCAGCAAAATGCTACAGAAGTGAGGACTGGACAATGAAACCATTCCCTCATTTGCTCATTTTGTAAGACTTGGTGCTTTGGGAGTGATAAGGATATGACTTCCTTGGATAGATAGCATATCCTGATTAAGGAAACATCTATATTATGTGGTTTGAAGTGGTGGGGTTCAGAGCCAATGGTCAAGAAAGAATTTGAGATGTCTTTAGTGCAAAAGATTCTTTTATTAAAGTATAGGGACAGGATCTGTGGGCAGAAAGAGCTGCGCTAGGGTTGTGAGGAGTGACTGATTATATAAGATTTTCTATCTTATGGAGGGGAGGGTGATGTTAGGGCTCCAGGAAATTGAGTCTATAGGTTTCTGGAGATTGCTTTTGTCTTATAAATCATTAAGACAGTTGCAAACTGATGGAGACTCATATCCTGCATGACTATGATCTCTATCAGTTAACCACTTGTTTTTCCCTTTCCTTTGTTCTAGGGCAGCCAGGAGTGCCAGAGGAATGTCACATATATCCCACCTTGGGGGGTGGGTGGTTGCAGGATGTTAGCTTGTGCTTTGCCCCCAGCTTGCCTTCTGCTCATCATATAGAGCACTTCTCTTACCAGGCTCTTTGATCAGCCATTATGATAAATCCCCACAAGTCAATGGATTTATATCAGTCACGAAACAAAGCATTTTGCTTGACTGGAAAGGCTAATCAGGTTCTCTCAATGCTCTGCATGTCTAGCCACTCCTGATTCCACACCACAGTTCAAAGGCTGGCACTTCCAATCTTCCCTGCCCTGCCCCAGTTTTCTTTTTACCCATACCTCTTAACAACTTCAGATGTAATAAACATGATAAATGGGTAAATATGATCATGTTTATTTGTCTCCAACTAGAATATTAATTCTGAGTCAGAGATTCTCAAAAGCTTAGACATGTGGCCAGCGCATAATAGGTGTTCTAACATTTGTTAACAAATTTTGAAATAATGTAATTACCTCCAACTTTTAGGTACAAGGATCATGGTCCAAAGCTGGTGGGCTGAGTGTCAGTGGTGTTTATTATTAATATGGAGAGAAACCACTTGAGTATAACTATGAAAAAAAGAGTCCGGAATTATGCAAAGCTTAAATTATGCCAGATTGTCATAAATGCATCCTCATGTAAAATATAACCAATTTGTAATTTATTACATATTTGTGCAATAAATTGGTGTGCAATCATTAAGATTTAAAATATATTTAATGATATATGGAAAATAACCTTATGTTACAATTTTTAGTTCAGTTAATGGGACATAAAACTACATATGGAGGGGTTCCTGGGTGGCTCAGTTAGTTAAATGTCTGACTCTTGATTTTGGCTCAGGTCATGATCTTGGGGTCATTAGGCTCTGTGCTCAGTGGGGAGCTGCTTCTCTCCTTTTCCTTCTACCCCTCCCCTACTCCCACACATGCTCTCTCTCAAATAAATAAATAAGTAAATCTAAAAACTATATATAGAACACGAGGAGCAAATTTTGAAATGGGAATAAAATGAATCAGAAACACAAATAAACCCAGTGTATATACCAAAACATTTGAATGCTAAGATTACAAGTAATTTCTTTTTTGCATCCTTTTGGTTTTCTGCTATTAACATGTGAAACTTGTACAATCAGAAAACACAAACCATCAGTAAGTCGAGAGTGCTTGGAAAACAATTTCCTCTGAGAAATGAAGGCACTTTTAGGACCATCAAAGACAGCACCAGGGAACTGACCAGAGAGGTCCTAAGGCCTCCTAGAAATCAGACATGGAATGAAAGAGGGGCCAGCAGCCATGGGAATGCACTAGTTTTGTCTGAGAGTATTTCTCAACTGGATTGTGCCTTCTGCATTTTAAACCTTTGAAGTTGCCCCAGGGCCTTTCCAAAATGCCAGAAATTCACCCTCACTTAACCTTCCCAAATAACAACACCTAAAGATATAGGTAACAGAAAATGAACTTAGCTGGTTTCAACAACAAGAACATTTTTTCACATAAAATAATCCAAAATGGGCAGGGCAGCTCCTGGATTAGGATTATAAATGCCAGGTTATGGTCTCCCCTTTCAATCACTCCAATGTTTTCAGTCTACCTCTAATTCTGATGTTGCAACAGCTGTGGTCATTTCTGGCATCACTTGCAGGCAAATGGCCAGAGGCAGAAGAGGTTCTGCCTCTTTCTTACACATAAAGAATGAGGCTATCTTTCAAAAAAGACACCAGCTGGAGAGAGCAAGGGAGAATGACAGAGTAGGAGGATCCTGAGCTCACCTCCTTCCATGGACACATTGAGGCAATGATACATATAATGCAATTCACTCTGAAAACAACCTGAAGACTGGCAGAACAGATCATCCACAGCTAAAGACATAAAGAAAAAGCTACATCAAGAAGGGTAGGAGAGGCAGAGACATGGTCAGAAAACAAACCCCCATTATGGTGACCCACAAACAGGAGAGATATCAGAGGTGCAGAAGTCCTCCCTGAGTAGTGAGGGGATCAAGAACCACATGAGGCACCCCCAGCCCTAGAGGCCTGAACCAGAAAGACAAGTCCCCATAATGTCTGCTTTTAAAAATTGGCAGACATTAACTCAGGGAGA